TCTCTCACATCCATCGTAAGTCACTGTGCGAGTGAGTGAAGCGTCGCACCAGACGGCGCGAAGTTCGGGTCCAGTAACAAAACGGCCCCGATTTTACATCTCTCGCCCTTTCTCACCAACCACCACCGCCCCTTGACGTCGTTTCGCAAATGCGTCGTCGCTGTATTATTAACACCTCGACCATGATTTGCGTCGCCTAAAGCACCCACACACACTCACGTCGCTGGCAGCGACGCCTCGTCCGTGTCTCATACCCTGTCAACCCAGCACGGATTACGACCCCGTCGGTCTTGGACAGGGAAATTGAGTTCTCAGGGCCATACAACGCTACAGGCGTTTCAATACGGGCACAATTAATTGTTGTCTATTTGTTTGCGTTTCTCCCGTGTGATGGGACTTTGTAGGATGAACGTTGGTCTGTAATAAAGTAGGCGCTGATAAGTGGTTGACAGGTATAAACGATACACAATACATTACTATACACTTTTATACCCTACACTATTCACTGCACTGTCATACCGGTCAACCCATATGGTTTACCCCGTATTCTTGTACAGGGAAATAAGATGTCAGGTCCATACGCCGCTACAGCCGTTTCAATACGGGCAAAACAATGATGATCATACGTACCAATTTAAAAAAAAACACAGCCGTGGGACAGCTTTTTATTTACTCTGAAGAGTAGCGATCTCCGTAGCATCCACATGTCATTATGTAAAATCACAGACAGTAGAAGAATAAGTAGCATCATTGACACCAATTATAAAAAATTAATACATAAAATAGTTTTTGTTTAGTAACATATTTGTTGTCTGTTTGTTTGTGTATCTCCCTTGTGATGGTACTTTGTAGGATGAACGTTGAGATTGATAAGGGGCACGGGGTGACCAAAAAGGTCTGAATTGGTCTGTAATAAGAAGGCACTGATAATGGGTTGACAGGTATGTCTTTCTCGTTATCCGTCGTCCACCACCACCCCTGTACTATTACTACTACCCTGTGAATCGCTTTGATCTACATCGTTTCGATATTCGTCGTCGCACATTTCAGGAACCCATCCCCCACGTAAACCGGGGTATTACTCGTCTGCAGTCGTAGTATTTTAGCGGCTAATAACACGCTGCACACCCGCCACCATGGCAGTAATATTAAAAACTAAAATTTATTTTTTTATTTAACCAGGTAAGGTCCAATGAGCCCTATAGCTCTTTTTCATTTGCGACCCAGCCACAAATGATAGCTCAACAAAGTGGCTTACCGTGTGGGAATTTACAGCAACCAAAAAGTCTGAACGCACGATTCTGAATGTGGAGGGGAAAACCCGGAGGACCTGGAGAAGAATCCACGCGACCACGGGGAAAGAGACACGCAAACTCCAAATAAACTGCAGCAGCAGGCGTCAGGGTCGGGATCGGACCCACGACCTCTTGTACACCAGGCGAGGTAGTTAACATCTCCGAGCCACCGTGATGATGATGATGATGAGAGAGAGACACGCAAACTCCAAATATACAGCAGGCGTCAGGGCCAGGATCTAACCCACGACCTCCTGTATACCAGGCGAGGTAGTTAACATCTCCTAGCCACCGTGATGATGATGATGATGAGAGAGAGACACCGCAAACTCCAAGTATACAGCAGCAGGCGTCAGGGTCGGGATCTATCCCACGACCTCCTGTATACCAGGCGAGGTAGTTAACATCTCCTAGCCACTGTGATGATAATGATGATGATGAGAGACACGCAACTCCAAATATACAGCAGCAGGCGTCAGGGCCTCTTCGTCACAGCCCCAACCCAACTGCGACTTCGCAGTTTCGATTCGGCAGCTGTGAATTCGCAAGTGCCATCACACATCGGTTCCAATACAAACGAACCCTCTGGCGGCCGGCTTAGGACATTCAGTGTTACGTCAGCAACAGAGTCGCTGCTCACTTGAACTAATTGCTGGTGAACTGCCCAGATGGTTTATAGGCGAGGACTCCTCTCTGTTAGATATGTGGGTCCTGGTTAAGAGACACGTGGGATATCACTGTTTGAATATACTAACATATGCGATATACGTAATTCAACATTGTACGAAAAGTGGCATTTTACACTTTGTATAATGTTTAACAAAAAAATATTTCAATAGATTTTTTTGTTGTACACAAGAACAAAGGCCCGCTGTAGAACGTTGGGCAACACAAAAGCGACACTTTGTACTCTGTTGAACTATCCATATCGCAGTGATATATATTAGTGGCTCAATGTTGATTTGAAACTGTCGTGACTGCAGGAATCCACACTCTTTGCTTCTTTCGGTAAAGTCACGTGGGTAGAAATATAATAAAACACATCGCGACGTTTCGATCGCAACACAAGCGGTCGCCATCAGGCAAAGGAGTCGGCCTTTAAAGGTAAACTGTTTATAAAGGTTTGGAGATGGGCTGACTCCTTTGCCTGCTGACGACCGCTTGTGTTGCGATCGAAACGTCGCGATTTGTTTGATCTTATTTTATTTCTATCTACGTGACTTTACCGAAAGAACCAAAGAGTATTTTGGTGGCTGTTTAGAGTATTTGGCTGCTGCGATAACTTTTCCCGTGCGAAGCCACTTCGTTGAGCGGTCTTTTGTGATTCCCAGGTCGCTTCTGAAAAATGCCTATTTCGGCCTTACCTGGTAAAATAAACAAAAAAATAGTTAGTTTTAAATCCATATTTTTACAATTATTATTCCGTTTTGTTGGGTTTTTTTTTTTTACATGCGATCGTTAATTTGGCGAGCGCTTGGAACCTCCCCTGTACTTTTCCACCTCTGCCCACCCCAGCATTGTACTCCCGAGAGCAAAAAGAGAGTCGCACATCTCACTTGGCTCTTCCAACTTCAGCCAAAACGCCTCGTGTCGACGACAATGACGCAAATTCGACGCGGCCATCAGTGGGGCTTCTAATAGTTACGCTACTGTTCCTACGCTCATAACACGCAAATAAACTACAGCACATTGCCGATCTCGTCAAGGAGCATAGACCGTGACTCCGGTCATCGTCACAGCAGCAGCGCCCTTCTGCTGGCCGTCGAACAAAGACGGTCACCGCATCGCACGCTTGCAGATGCGTTTCTGCGACCGTCTGGAACGCTCTTCCCTTCCGATATTAGGACGCCACTGGGGAGCTATGCACTTTTAAATCATCTCGATTCACAACTAATTTCTTCAAAGCTGTTTTTGTGTTTAGTTTGTTGTCCTTCCTCCGCACCTCTGATTAGCACGGTTGGCTACGTACCGGTGCGAAAGAAGGTCAACATACATGCACACACTACATACACAACGGGCTGGTGAAGACACACAAGAGACAATGCTCGTTGTTGTATCGATTGGCCGCTGTGGCTCCTGTGTATCAGCATGAGCCACCAAGCTCTATCCACTGCTGGGGTGCTGCGGTGGCGAGATGTTAATTCCCCCCGCCTGATATGAAGGAGGTGGTGGGTTTGATCCCAACCCTGACGATGCCTTCATTGTGTTCTCCCCTTGGTCATGTGTTTTTTTTTTTATTCGGGTCCTCCGATTTTTCCCCTCCACATTTAGAAACATGTGTGTAGAGTATTTGGCTGCCATACATTTCCACGTGATAAGCCACTTCGTTGAGCTATCAGTTGTGGCCAGGACGCTTCTGGAAACGAGCGAAATAGCTCAGCCGGGCTTATCTGGTAAAAGTAAAACAGTTTAGTTTGTTTAGTTTAGTAATAGTTGTGGACGAAGGCCTCTCGCCCCACCTCCTCTGCTGTCGCCATCTCTCATAGTTTTGGGGGTGCCCACAATCCATCTTGCCGCCCAATGCCCCCCACGCCTCGCCCCGCGCCCGAGCTGATTCAGCTGCTCCATCTCCGCATGGTGACCGTGCCGTCTCGGGCGCGTTTCTACCCTTTAGCTGCCGCTAATTAGCGACGACGCGTCCTGCCTGAACCCGCGTGTGAAGTAATTGATGCAATGTCGCTAATTCACGTTTGTTCCTCTCTGATCCACGTGCTCCTCGCAGTGCCGGATTAAGCTCGTGTGGGGCCTGTAGCATGATGTGATAAAGGGGCCCTAAATAAAAAAAACACGTAAATATTAAAACACAATTTTTTTTACTTGCATAGTAAAGTCATTGTATTTTTTAAATTTCCTATACAGCCTTAAACACCCAGTCGTTCGTAAAAGTTGAAGGCGGTATAGTACTATGGTAATAGAGCAAGTGCAGAAACACTGAACCGAAATTGATAGCTTAAAAGCATTTAGCGCGGGGCCCTTGAAAGTGCGGGGCCCCCTAGCATATGTAGTAGCTACATATGTAGTAGCTACATATGTAGTAGCTACATATGTAGTAGCTACATATGTAGTAGCTACATATGTAGTAGCTACATATGTAGTAGCTACATATGTAGTAGCTACATATGTAGTAGCTACATATGTAGTAGCTACATATGTAGTAGCTACATATGTAGTAGCTACATATGTAGTAGCTACATATGTAGTAGCTACATATGTAGTAGCTACATATGTAGTAGCTACTTTTTCTACTAGGATAACCTGGCACTGGCTCCTCGGTCTCTGGGTGTAATTCCCAGCATGCTTGCTTGGGGGGTGAATGCGCGTGTGCGTGTGTGGGGTTTCATTGTATTATTTAATTGCCTTTGTTTAATTGTGTGCGCGTGTGTGATCGAGCAGCTGGTGGGTTTGTGTACGAGTTTCAGTGGAGGGGTGTGGGGGTTAGCGCACAGAACTTTGAACCCGGCGACCTCAGTTAGATTCCCGATTGCAGCCAACATCGGTGGGAAAGTTCTCAACCGGTCACGGGGCTCCGCTGGGTCGTCTCAGCCTTAAATTAGGACCGGGTGTGGTGCCTAAACATCAGGCACTGGGGAGACTAAGGTGGCCATGTTGGTCTTCATAAGTGTTCGCTGAGACTTGTCCCACAGCCTGTGTAGGCTATATGGGGAATCTTTGTCATTGTGTATGTGTGTGTGTTGCTGCGTTTAGGATGTGCGGGAGATGTGGCGTACGCTCCCTGGCCCTGCTGCTGCAGGCGCTGCTGGCAGTGGGGGTCACGGAGGTCAGCGGGGTCACGCCCTCGGTCATCACACCTGTGGTCACGCCCTCGGTCATCACGCTCGGGGTCACGCCTGGGGTCACGCTCGGGGTCACGCTCCGAGCTTTGGCGCCGCACTCTGGTGAGCGATGATATAGGTGACATCACCATCACATCATCACCGTCATCACGATCACAATCATCATAGCCACCATCAACTTCACCAACATCACCATCATCACCATCGTCGTGGTCACCACCATGCTTATCAAAATCATCACAACCACCATCACCCCCATACCATTCATCATCATTGTCATTACCATCATTCTTAACACACACCACACACCTGCACTCGTGGCACACTGTACACACACTACACATGTTGTGTACACTGCACTAATGCACTGTTGTAAACACAAAGACTCCTCGTTGAGTCATATAGGGTAATATGGCTGTCACTGAGTACACAATAGGGTGTGGTGTGGACCCTACCATGCTCAACTACCTTTGTCTCTCCAGTGCTGATGTTTGCTTATGCACTTCACCAGTAATATGTTTTTAAGTTTGAGGCAACCTAAAGGAGGCCCAGGGCAGATGCAGACACCACCTGCCATGAATGTGAGCCATAGTCAGGAATCAAACTCACTCTCTCACATACTCTCCAACACTCTCCACACACACACTCACTCTCTCACACACTCTCCAACACTCTCACACACTCTCCAACACTCTCCACACCCTCCACACTCTCCACACGCATACTCTCACACACTGCACACTTTCCCACGCATTCTCACACTCAAAGGCAAAGATCCACCGTATAGCCTTAATAGACTGTTGGGGCAAATGCTGTTAGCGAGCACCTATACAGGCCGGAGCGGCAGACAACGGAGTGGGCGGCCAGCACCACGCCCGGCCGACTTTCTTCCCCCAGTGGCGATGTGCAGGGACTAATTTGGGGCTGAGTCGACCTCGGGGAGGCCCAGGATCGATTCAGATAATCGTCACTGGTGTTTTCCGTGAACGGGAATCGAATTCGGCTCGCCGGGTTCATAGCGCAAGCACGCTAACCCTTGCACTACCGCTCCCCACTCATACTCTCCCACACTCTCCCTCTCTCTCACACTCTCTCTCACACACACACACACACCCTGCACACTCCACACACTGGACCCAGTGCTGAGAGAGGGCCATGGCAAGGAGGAGGAGGAATGCTGTCCTGTGGCCCTGGCCATGATTAATGATTACTCGCGTTCCTGGGCTAGAGGGCTGGCAGATAGTATGCCCTGCTGTGTTTTCAAGACCGACCCGTCGATACAAAACCCAAGCCGTGCTGCGACAATCCTGGAATAAACTATAAAACTATTTTTGATTTCACTAGGCAAGGCCCACTGAGCTGTATAGCTCTCTTTCAGAAGCGACCTGGCCACAAATGATAGCTCAACGAAGTGGCTTATCATATGGAAATAAATAACAGCCGAATACTCTAAAAGCGTGATGTTGATTCTAAATGAGGAGGGGAAAACCGGAGGACCTGGAGAAAAATCCACGCGATCACGGGTAGAGAGACACGTGAACTCCAAATATACAGCAGGCGTCAGGGTCGGGATCGAATCCACGACCTCCTGTATACTGGGCGAGGTAGTTAACATCTCGCCACCATGCCACCCTCGCCACTGGAACGAGACCTGAGTTGCTCCGGGAATGGCTCGGACCAACTTGGGCCTCGTCCCAGTGCATAGTCCACGTAAGATGGCCCCTCTAACCCCCTTCGATCGTCAACTATTAACGCTTTCCAACCGAGGCTTGGAAGCGTTTGCTACGCGTTAGCTCTGTCCGTTCGTGGTGTGCCCATCTTGTTGGCAACAGGACCGGTGGGCACAAGAGCGCTGGTAAAGACGACCCAACGTGAACGGAAACTTTAGTTTAAAGTTGTGTTGCGATAGCGGCGGGGGGAAGGGCGGTGGGGACTCTTGTTCCCTTCGAGAAAACCGGGCACGCTGATCGAAGCGTAGCCCCCCGTTGGTTCCCTCCCCCAGCAGAAGGCGCGAACTGAGCCCCGGTATCGCGTCGCGGCCCACGGTCACACCGCTTGCCGAGCGCGAGGGCTTGCCGCGATGATCGCCAGCCGCTCCCCCGGTTAGCAAGGTCGGCTACGTACGGTGTGTAAGAAGTCCAACATACGTGCACACAACCGAACACTTGCGCGGACAGGCGAGTTGCGGAATCCATGCGCCTGCTGTGATTCGGCTTCCCCGTTAAAATGTCGCGTCGTACGCTTGGGTTGCGCGCTCGGGCTAATCGCTGGGAGCGAGGCGCCCCGTTATTTTTGTACTTTTCTCGGTGACGTTTTAAAAATAAAACGGAACACAAACACGGCCCCCCGCGGCCGTGAGCTTGACCTGCGCGCGACGGAGAGAGACGCGATTGGCGGCGGCCGTCGTCGCCCCCACGCTGGCCTTGTGACGTCATCGCGCCCAGGCTGGCCTTGTGACGTCATCGCGCCCAGGCTGGCCTTGTGACGTCATCGCGCCCAGGCTGGCCTCGTGACGTCGTCGCGCCCGCGCTGGCCTCGTGACGTCATCGCCACTGTTTCCTAGGGCTGGCGGCGCCGGGTCGCCTCCCCCCACCCCGCTTTCTAAAGCATGCCGCGGCAGCCTGGAAAACGGCGCGCTATGCGGTCAGCTTTGCGGCCCTTTTGCAACCCAGTTGCGGTCTGATTACGCCTTGGTTGTGGCCCGGTTGTGGCCCAGTTGTGGCCCAGTTGCGGCCCTATTGCAACCGAGTTGTGGCCCGGTTGCAACCAGGTTGTGGCCCAATTGCGATCCAGTTGCAGCCTGATTGCGACCCAGTTGCGGCCGGTTTTGGCCCAGTTATGGCCCAGTTATGGCCTTTTTGTGGCCCGGTGGCAGCCCAGTTGCAACCAGATTGTGGCCCAATTGCGACCCAGTTTCGGCCTGGTTGCAACCCAGTTGCGGCCCGGTTGCGACCCAGATGCGACCCAGTTGCGGCCCGGTTGTGGCACGGTTGTGGCCCAATAGCAGCTCACTTGGCTGCGTGCCGTGGGAATCTTGGCTGAGCCTCCACTTCCTTCCCTGGGTGGTGAATACCCCCCGGTTTGATGAACGTGCGTGTGGGAACTCGGCCGTGTGTGTGTGTGTGTTCTTAAGAGCTGTTGTGCACGTCCGGTGCAGCGTCGTGCTAGCACAAGGCAGCTACACACAGCCACACACGCGTGCACAACACAGCCCCTTGGCCGCAGCATGACACACGGAACACAACGCACACAACACGCACAACACACCATTACACAATAAAGCCGCATACAGCCGCACTCTGTACTGCCCTTCCCGACACAACACAGGCCCAACACAATTTAACCCGGCACAATTGAACAACACGACACAATTCGGCACCCCGACACAACAACAACAACAGCGAACCACAACGCAGGCAACACGCTTTCCCACCAACATACATCACGGCCTATCTTGAGACAGCCCCTACACAGCACAACATCATAATACATCGCTATCTTAGCGAAACACAGCGCTGCCTCCACTCACAACCACACACAACACAGCGGCACACACAGCATTCCACGCCCAACAGCACACACAGCCACACACACAACACAGCTACACAGACAACATTCCATGCCCAACAGCACACACAGCCACACACACAACACAGCAACACACAGCATTCCATGCCCAACAGCACACACAGCCACACACACAGCCACACACACAGCCACACACACAACACAGCGGCACACACAGCATTCCACGCCCAACAGCACACACAGCCACACACACAACACAGCAACACACACACACAGCATTCCACGCCCAACAGCACGCAAAGCCACACACACAACACAGCTACACACACAGCATTCCATGCCCAACAGCACACACAGCCACACACACAGCCACACACACAACACAGCAACACACACAGCATTCCACCCCCAACAGCACACACAGCCACACACACAACACAGCTACACACACAGTATTCCACCCCCAACAGCTCACACAGCCACACACACAGCAGCCCCCACAGCACACAGCATCACACAGCAGCCCCCACAGCACACAGCAGCCCCCACAACACACAGCAGCCTCCACAGCACACAGCAGCCTCCACAGCACACAGCAGCCCCCACAGCACACAGCAGCCCCCACAACACACAGCAGCCTCCACAACACACAGCAGCCTCCACAGCACACAGCAGCCCCCACAACACACAGCAGCCTCCACAGCACACAACCACACACACAGCAGCCCCCACAACACACAGCAGCCTCCACAACACACAGCAGCCTCCACAGCACACAGCAGCCCCCCCAACACACAGCAGCCTCCACAACACACAGCAGCCTCCACAGCACACAGCAGCCCCCACAACACACAGCAGCCTCCACAGCACACAACCACACACACAGCAGCCCCCACAACACACAGCAGCCTCCACAACACACAGCAGCCTCCACAGCACACAGCAGCCCCCACAACACACAGCAGCCTCCACAACACACAGCAGCCTCCACAGCACACAGCAGCCCCCACAACACACAGCAGCCTCCACAGCACACAACCACACACACAGCAGCCCCCACAGCACACAGCACGCGGGCAGAGAGCGCCGCCGGTGGAGGTGGCGGGGCGCAGGGGACCCCCGGGCCGTGGGCAACTCTGTCCCTCCGTGCGCCGGGGTAGGAGCCCACCCTACCTGTTTGTCCACCCTACCTGTTTGTCCACCCTACCTGTTTGTCCACCCTACCTGGTTGTCCACCTTACCTGGTTGTCCACCCTACCTTTTTGTCCACCCTACCTGTTTGTCCACCCTAGCTGCTTGTCCACCCTACCTGGTTGTCCACCCTACCTGTTTGTCCACTCTACCTGCTTATCCACCCTACCTGGTTGTCCACCCTACCTGGTTGTCCACCCTACCTGGTTGTCCACCCTACCTGTTTGTCCACTCGACCTGTTTGTCCACCCTACCTGTTTGTCCACCCTACCTGTTTGTCCACTCAGACGAAAAACTTTTGGTTCTGGTGACCCGTTGTTTTATTAATTTCTTTCTTTCTTTCTTCAGTAGCGCGTCGTTCGTGGTTTCAGTGGCGAGTATTT